TATACAGCAGTTTTATGTCTTTTTAGTTTTATGTGTCTATAGGAATATGTTTAGTTCTGTACTGCTTTGTTCTGTTTCTCCCTCTAATATAGAAAGGATAGAAATACATGTTAAGACTCATGCTTGCGTAAAATCTATAAACAGTTTAAGAGAACTGATCTTATGACACATGACAAAATGAACAAATAATTTGAAGGGGCACTGCAGTACCCAGTGCTGCCTCTGGAGTGTTATGATGTGAAATCCAGCAATAATGTTAATCTTTGTTCAGAAGGATTTTAATCTAGTAAGTTTTGTTAGCTCTCAACATAAATGAAGATATGGATAAATGCGTACATGTCTAAGTGTATAGGATTGATACTCATATTACTTAGTTTTTGTTGGATAGTTAAACAGAATATTTTGCAGTCTCCCTGGTTGAATTTCCATTTGTATGTTCCACTTTTGTATCTTGAACAATTATTTGTGGGGGGAACAATATGTACACATTAACTAGTGATTTATTACTGTTTACTTCTTTTCTTTGAAAGTATATACTATTTCTGCCCATTTTCTATTCTTTTTTATCTTTCTCTAAATTAAAAAAAGCTTTAAAATATATCCAGAAATTTTTTCTAAAATCTGATTCTACTTTTGAGTATTTCTAGAGTAATTACTTGAGAAAGGGGGGCAGTTTCCATGAGCCAGAGGAATTCTGAGTTCACCTTAAAAGACACCACACCTATCTTTCTAGATCAAATATTTCAAACCTGTTAGCTGAATGAACCATGTAATACCAAGTAGGTATAAACCAGCAAATAAAAAATCATTTTGATAATGACTGAGAATCAAAACTTATTATTTCAAAGGAGTACTTTAACCTCCTAAATAAGTCTAAGATTTTTTCTTAGAAAGTATTTCTTCTTTCATTCCTGAAATTATTTAATACACGTAAGCACATATTAGACAACTGACACTTAACAATTAATTACATGAGTTCAATCCCTGGTACCAATAAAAACAAAAAAGACAAAAAAATAAAATAAAATAAACAATTACAGTAAATTAACATGAATTAAATTACCTTTTTTGTGGTACACATGAAACATTCCTATAGCATTTAAACCTGAACATTCTTTGACCAAAAAAACAAATGGAAATGCAGGGAGGCAGTCACTTAGGTAGTGAGTTATATGGTACATAAACTTGTTAATTCTGATACCAAACAAAAAATAAAATTCACTATGTGGATCTCTCATTTATACAATCATAGCAAAACCTTTTTATTTTAGTTTTTTTTTTTTTTTTTTAGTTTCACTGTATAGTTAAGGGTGGCCTTAAACTCACTATTGCAGCCCAGGCTGACGTCCAACTTGCAGTGAGATCCTCCTGCCTTAGCCTCCTGAGTGCTGGGATTACAGGCATGCACCATCACACCCACCTAAAAACTTTCATTTGTTAAACAATATACTGGATTATGGGGCTGGGGATTTAGCTTAGCAGCATAAGCGCCTGCCTTGCCAAGTGTGTGGTCGTGAGTTCGATCCCCAGTACTGATAAAAATGAAAAAGACAAAAAAAAAAAAAAAACCAATATACTGGATTAATAACTGGTGGTAAACAACAGCTGAACTGAATCAGTATGGTGCTGAGTTTACAAGGTCCACCCTAAGACTGCTGCCAGTATAAAACAAGAGACATAGAAAGGAAAAAGCATAGCATTGTGGGCCCTCCTGTACTGTTGTTTGGAACTGTTGGTTCTCCAGGAGCTTGCTGAGCTTCTTTCCTGATGTCTACTCCTGTTATCATCAGAGAAGCTTGGGACTTCATTGTTGCTGAGAATGGCCACGATTCACTTTGCGGGAGCTCTGGTACTTATTTTGAGCATTGCTTCCTGGCTCCGGAGGGGAAGATGTGTGCTGCTCAATCTCCTAGAAAAGCTGGTCTCGCTAGTTTCCTGATACGTACTGGGCTGTGTTCCCCATCGGAGGTGCTCTGGGCCTTATTACAAGGATGGCTGTGGTACTTTTCAGGGGAGCCCTGATCCTTGAGTGTTGCTTCTTGGCTCCAATCCAGAACCCTTGGTCTGTTGGTACAGATCCTTCATCCTACTAGCACAGACTTTCTAGCTGCCACCACTGACCTGTATGGGAAATTGTAGTCACAGCTGAAAAGACCAAAAAACTGGTGAAGACCAGGCTCCAGTGGTTTCTGAACTGCACAGGTTGCTGGACTCCAGATGATGGGTTATGGCTTGGCAAAAGATGTATTTTGCTCATATCCAGAGCCTTTGCCTAGCCACTAAGATGAAAAGCAGATGACTAGGGGCTGGGGATTTAGCTCAGCGGCATAAGCGCCTGCCTTGAAAGCAGGCAGTCGTGAGTTCGATCCCTGGTACCGATAAAAATGAAAAAGACAAAAAAAAAAAAAAAAAAAAAAAGCAGATGACTAACCTGGCAGAAGAGATTTCAAGGCATTAAATGTTGAGGCTGTGGCATGGCTATTGTTGGGGACATTGTTGGGGACTTTTAACCAGATTTACATTGAGGCTCAAGAGCAAAGTGTCCAGCAGGACTTTGGGATTTGCTTTGGTCCCCTTCCTTTGTATCCACTAGTTTTAACTTTGGGAATGAATGTTAAGTGTTTAACTTTCATTTGCTTTTCTGCAATTCTCAAAGTGTTAGAACTGTGGCAACTCTTGCAGATGAATCAGACTATCTTTCGACTAAAGGGATGTGCATGAGTCTTTGCGGTGGGGCAGGGTTGAAATGCAATGGCTCTAATCTATTATGTTGGTACTTAATATTGGTTAAGATTAAACCTGTGTGGTGATGTTGTGAAATTATAACAAGCATAACTTGGCATTGGGAGACCTATTTAAAAAAATGTCTGGTTGCCAAGTTAACAAGGGGTCATTATGGTTGATACCCTGACTTGAGGTCTAGAAGCTTAACTAACTCAGCAGCTATATATCCTGTGGTGTAGACAACACCCCATTATAGTTCTAGGATGTTGTCAATTTGAGGTCACAAATTTAAGTGGTCCAGCAGGGGGCCGGGTAAGAGGTTCATAAGCATCCTTAGCCTGTGCAAGAAGGGGCATGCAGATAAGTGAAAGTGACACCCACCCTGATGGGGTGAAATCCTGCTTAAAATATAAGAGATTTTGCTCTTCCGACCTTTTGCTCTTGTTGCTTTACTGTCTTCTGCTGCCTTGAAGTGCTGCCCCTATGCCACGCCACTTTGTCTTTAAGAAAGCTGATTATAGATTGAAACTTCCACAAACTGTAAACTAAATAAACCTTTCCTTCCTTAATTTGGGGCATTTGTATTTTGTCCCAGTAATGAGGGAAAAGTAACTGAGACTGGCTCTTCAGTGAGAAGGTGGCAACTGCCCCCATTTCTGTTACTATGTACTGTGGTTAAGGCATGCCTGTATGACAGCACAATGCTGACTAAATCTCACACAGTCTTTGTTCTAAAAGGAGTAAAACAGAACAGTAACAGTAAGGAAATCCAGAATGGTTTACTCTACTTCATGTCATTATCCTCTAAATGGTTGCCCAGAGCACCAGCCCCAGGCCTCCAAAGTCAATCAAACATTTCTGGTTGCTATCCTACTTATTATTATCTCAGCCTGTGTTGTGTCCAGTTGCTTGCGGGCTGGGGAAGGAGGCAGAAGCAGCATTCTTGCTGTTTTTCCCCAGCCAACAGGGCCTCTGCCAGCATACAGGGAGGCTACTCCGTTTCCTTGCTGTTTCTCCACAGTGGGGAGGGGGGGCACAGTGCTTCCTTACAGCTTCTCTCCAGCAGCCAGCACAGGGGGTCCATCTTAAGTAAGGTATTTACTATGATTCATCTAAACCAACTAATAAGGTTGGACTTAGGTCTGCCACCTTGTATTCTTCTTCAGATTTATTTTCAAACTTTTGACATAAATAACATCTTGTTTATTGCTGCAAATTCTTTTCAGTCATTGCAGGTATGTATATTGGAAAAGTGAATTTCTCTATACAGTATTAACCTTGTATTTCAAAATCTTGCTATAACACATCTAATTAATTCCAAGTTTTATTTTTCTCTACTTGTTTGGGTTCTCAACAATCATGTTATCTGTAAACAAAGGTAGTTGTGTTCTTTTCCCATCATTATTCCTTTAATTCTATTTCATTAGTTAAACTAATGAATAAAAGGCATGTTTTTACCTTGCTGCTGATGGCAGAACCAGCCTGTAGGAAACTGGCATAATTTCTTCCTTCTTTGGTTGAATTCACCCGCGGCACATGTTGGCCAGAGACTTTGTTTTGAAGGTTTATTTGTTCAGTTGCCACAGTAGATGTGGGCCTACTACTATTGCATGCAGTCTTCCTTGGTATCTGTAGGGAGATATTTTTACGAGCCCCTATGGATTCCAAAATCTGTGATGATCAAGTTCCTTAGATAACATGACACAGTATTCAACACGTGACATGCAGATGCCTTAAATCATTCTAGATCAGTTCTGATACACACATCATGATATCATATCATGGAAATCAATAGTTGTTACACTGTTTGATGGTTTAGGGCAGCAATGGTGAACCTTTTAGAGCTTTTACTAACAGCTGGCTGAGGCATGTTCACCATAGGGTCACCACCACTGGTTTAGAGGACATGACAAGAGGAAGGAGCCAACACATGTTCAGTCCTAAGACAATTTTTTTTTTTTTGCATACTTGCGGTCTGTGGTTGTTTTAACATTTGAGAGCTGAAAAAAATTAATTTGTGTGACCAAGTATTTCATGGAGGTTGTCAAATCTGCACAGTTGTGCACAGCATTTGTTATTTAGAGAACCTGTAGCGGTGTATGTCCTTTCTGTTTTTTGTAATTTTTATTTTATTTATTTAGGTACCAAGAACCAAACTCAGGACCTTGTGCTTGCCAAGCAAATGTTTATGTCACTGAGCTACAGCCCCTTGTAAGTTTTATTTTAATGAGAATAAAAACAAACAAAACAGAATAAAGCCAATCAAACAGACAAAGCAGTGTGACACAAGATTTTAATATAGGAAATCAGCAATTGTTACCATAATGCTTCTTGTTGTCTTCATAATAGCTAGCTGCATCTTCACACAGTAAAATCAAGCAAAACAGAATAGAACCAATAAAATCAAAATACAAAACAATACAGGACTTCGAAATAAGAGTAAATCCAAAATGGTTTATCATAATGTACCGTGTTTATCTTTGAAACAGCTACCCATGTCATGAGATATAAATAATCAAAACAATACAGGGTTTCAAAACAAGTTAGCAGGGAACTAGCAATGGCTACCAACTTCAAAAGTAGATCTTCCGTAGATGCTACATTGCATATTGTTATTCTCTTAATAGATGATTAGACTATCAGGTTTAGGCCTGCAAAGTCAGAAGAATCCTAAACAATACAAGCATTAAGTTGTAGCCTGCACATGGCACCAACTCACAGGTGCATTCTTCACTTCTCGTTCTCCTTCCTTGCAGTCTTGCCCTTTCATTTCTGATTCATGTCTCTCCATTATCTTTGTCTCCTATTTAAGGTATCACTTAGGCTCTTTTTCCTCATCTGTTTAAAGTACTGGTTTTTTGTGTATTGATTTTTTGCTTTCAATGTCATTAATTCTCATACTAATTCTGCTATTTGGGTTCTTTTTATTTTTTTGAGAAAGGGTCTCAGTGTGTCATTGAATCTGGCCTTGAACTCACAGCAGTCCTTTTTCCTCATCCTCCTGCGTGCTGGGATTACAGGCATGTGCTACCACACCTAGCTTTTCTCTCATGGTATTTAAGGCTGGAAGATACGGAGAAAACTTTACCACACTGCTGGCATTCATATGGCTTCTCTCCAGTATGTATCTTTTCATGATTTCGAATGGAATTCAAATATGTGAAGGCCTTACCACACTGTTTGCATTCATAAGGTTTTTGTCCACTGTGAATTTTGCGATGTCTTCTAAAAGTACTCTTATGATTGAAGGCTTTACCACACTGGTCACATTCGTAGGGCTTTTCCCCAGTATGTGTTCTTTCATGCTCTTGAAGGGTGTGGAGAAGTCTAAAGTGTCTCCCACACTGTTTACACTTATGGGGCTTCTCCTCGGTATGAGATCGTTTATGCCGGTGAAAGGAACTAGAAACACTGAAGGCTTTCCCACATTGTGTACATTTAAAGGGTTTCTCTCCAGTATGAATTCTTTCATGTCTTCTTAATAAACAGGGAAAATCAAAACATCTCCCACATACCTTACATGTATGCAGTTCATTTCCAGTGTGTATTATCTTGTGTCTTCTCAGTTGTGTGTCAGAATAAAAGGCCTTCCCACAATGTTTACAATCATAGGGCTTCTCTCCAGCATGACGTTTTTCATGTATAGAAAGGTAATGTGAAGAACTAAACAACTTACCACAGTGTTTACAGTCATATAGCTTCTCTCCAATATGAGTCCTCTGATGTATTCTAAATACACTAGGATAGAGAAAGGCTTTCCCACATACCTTACACTGAAAGGGTAACTTTCCAGTATGTGTTACCATGTGACTTTTAAAACCTGAAAACAAACTAAAGCCTTTCTTACACTGTTTACATTTATAGGGTTTCTCCCCAGTATGAGATTTTTCATGTCTTGTGAGTAAAAAAGAAAAATAAAATGGTTTCCCACATACCTTACATTTAAAACGTCCATTTCCAGTGTGCTTTACCATGTGGCTTAGAATACTTGCATGAGAAAAGAAGGACTTATCGCATTGTTTACACACATAGTGCTTCTTCAGAGTGTGAGATTTTCCATATCTTTGAATATAACTGAAATAAGGTAAGGCTTCCCCACCCATTCTTTTATTTTGCTTTCCAGTGTGAAGTACTATGGGTTGTTGAACATTTGTGAGAGAAATGAGGGACTCCCTATGTTTTTTAAATCCACAAGGCTTTTCTGCATATTTCTCACTTTTGTATCCTCTGTGTTCACAGTGAGGTATGATGTGCCTGTTAAGGAATAAACAACATATGAAACAACATATTCATTCATTCACAGGGTTTCACGCTAAGAGATCAAGACTTAAAACCTTACTGAAAGTTTCTCATTAACTCTCATATTTACATTTACAAAGTCTCTTTACCTTATAACTTTTGTAAAAAATGACAAGCACATGATTGATTATTCCTGATTTTTATATAACCACTAATATTAGGAAAGGTAGGTTTCATGACATGCCCAATCCGTTGGAAAGTAAACAGACTGACTAATGTGCAATATGGTTTCCAGCAGCTATAGCCAAAACAGCAATACCTCTAGATGTAGTTTCTTGGCTGTGGCCAGTTCAACGATTTTGAAAACAATGAGTATGTATTACATTGAACTGTGTGTGTAGGTAAACTTTCTCCAAGAATAAAAGTACATGAAGGGTCTTTCACTCATCTGTGAGGCGATAGAGCTGGAGATGTGACCAGAGCTAAACTCAGAATCTGACAGGATGTCTGGGTTGCCCCGTAGGGTGGTAAGGATCATTAAGGAAACCCAGCACTTGTTTGCAGAGTGATTTCTGGGATTAAAGCAGAACCAGACAAAAACAATGCCCATTATTTTCACATGGTCACTGCTGGTCCCCAGGATTCCCCCTTTGAAAGACAGACTTTTAAACTTGGACTATTTATGCCAGAAGAATCCCAATGGCAGCACCTGAAGTATGTTTCACAACCAAAATTCATCATCCTAATGTAGGCAAGTTGGGAAGAATATGTTTAGATATTTTGAAAGATAAATGGTCACCATTACTGTAGATCTACACAGTTCTGCTATCAATACAGGCTTCTTTTAATACTCCTGATACAGATGACCCATTAGCAAACAATGTAGCAGAACAGTGGAACACCAAGGAAGCCCAAGCCATAGCAACAGCTAGAGCGGGCAAGGCTATATGCCATGGGTCATATTTTTAGTCCTTTGGTGACTGAACGCACATTAGCAAATCTATGTCTTGTTCTGATTCACTGTAGTAAAGCATGAGCAGAGGCTCCAAGTTTTATCTGGATTGTTATGAAACACTGAAAAGCAGTGGCCCTCTGCTTTTATTCATGTCCCTCATCACAGTTTAAGTATAAAGCACTGTAAATGACAGTCTTGTCAGGGTTGGCTGCAAGGGTATTGGGGTTCTTTTTTTTTTGAGAGGAAAGGTAGTTTCAAAATTTTATGGGCTTCCTGCCCCTACTTTTATGGTGATCTGGCTGCACTGATTAAAACCAACTAACCAGTTCTGTAAGACATGCTCTTTAGCCAAGTCTAACTTTATTTAGACACTGCAGATGCACAAGGGGTGATTGTCTGAACCAAAATGGGAACATTAACATCACAGCCCTGACTAATAACATTGTGATTTGCAGGCAAGTGCAGATTTCCCTCTCAAAAAAGCTTGTTAACATTCTGTATAGCTTGTCTGGAAACTTGTGTAAATCTTGTTTCAGTAAAATATTTTTTGTTATTTTAAAAAAATAAAAGCTTACGAAGTTATATGTTTAGCTAGTTTCCTTTATAAAAATAAGAAATGCTAAAATATTCTCAAAGAACACACTTTCTTACTGTTCTGAATATAAATTACCTTAGATTTCTCAAAGCCCTTTTATTATCTTGGACGTTCTGATATTCCCATTTGTTTCCTAAAATGTAGACAAAGAAAATCTTTAAGAATTATCACAAAGAAATACTAAATTTTAGCTGAACTCTATACTGTTAGATTATCTGATTTATTCATTAAAGTATTTCCTTCCTATGTTCTTCTCAGTTGGCCAAAATAAACCCTCCTTTTTTTCTTTTGGTGGTACTGGGAACCAAACTCAGAACACCTCGCACTTGCCAGGTAGGAGCTGTGCCACAGCCCAACACTTCTTTTCTAGATACGAAGTAAAGAAATGGTGACATTCTTGCCTATAAAAGCGAGGTTCTGGAAGATTTCCTGCATCACATCTTTGTAGAGAGTCTTCTGGCAAGGATCCAGCAAAGCCCACTCCTCCAATGTGAAGTTCACAGCCACATCCTCAAAGGACACAGGGTTCTAAAACATTGCAGAAATGTAACAACAGGGTGAGATCTGAGGTCCCTAGTAACTGACAGTATGTAGGTATTTACATGATTCTGTGGTCTCCAAACATTTCATGGCATGGCTATCAAAGCTTACTCTTCAGCTCTGCTCACTCACAACCACTCTGGCTTTAGACCTGTACTACTCAAATAGTAGAAAAGACTACAAACACCCATTTCACTGCTACTACTCCAGGAAGTAAAATGTGTTCTTGGGTAATCCCTAACTGGAGAGAACTCCAGTGAATATATCTCCAATACTTGGCATAACAAAGTCCTGTTAAGCACTAGCAAGAAAGCTAATATAAGAACATCCAAGAATACTAACCCCTAGAAATACCTGCTGCAAAAACTGGCTCTTTGGTGGCATCAGAGAACTGACCACTTCAGAGGAATTCTGCTAATCTAAATGGTAAGAATAGCTTGGTGTGCCTAAATGAAATGTCCAAAGTATATGGTATTTACTGAATTCCAGTTCATCTTCTAAAATCTTATTGTTTTCTTCCACTTTTGCAGCAGTACTTAACTCTGGCTACCAAATATTCTAAACACGAGTTCCTAATGAGCACCCTTAGCAAATAACAGTCTTTCATTCCTGCTGGAATTTGCTAACTGGAGATCAAGAGAGGTACTGTGTGATTACAGAAGAACACTGCGAAGTTTGCAAGTTGTATACTGCAGGCAGTATCTAAGACCAAGGTTCATATAGTTTTTTGTTAAACCACCATGAGTAACATTTAAAAAATTCAGTATCACCAAGATGGTACCTCTAGCAAATTATATCCTTGCAAAGCTTCACTAACTTCCAAAAAATTTGGTCAATTAACAAAAACTGCATTTACAAACCTTATCAGAATAATGAATATCTAACAAATTCCATTAACCCCACAAATTCTCCTGCCTGGGTTGAGGAGTAAAAGCTGAGAAGAACGTATGAAATACGGCATAACCCAAAAAGACCTAGGATTTTTTTTTTTTTTTTTGTCTTTTTTTGAGACAGGGTCTCGCTATGCAGTTCAGGCTGGCCTTGAGCTCACTTTGTAGCGCAGGCTGGTCTCAAACTCTCAACAATCCTCCTGTCTCAATCTCCCAAGTGCTGGGATTACAGGCATGAGCCACCATGCCTGACAAGACTTAGGATTTTTAAAAATGAGGCTAAATCACAGGTAAAAAGAATGCTTTCCCTGGTTCCACAGTTCAAATACCATCAGAATATGTGAAAGCACAACAGAACTGTATGACCCAGATCTCATTAAAGAGGTGCCGAGGACACACCAACTGACTGTACAATATGCAGGAGGTAGACAAACATGTAGAAACATACATGGGCTTGAGTCATGAAGAAATACAAAATCTGCACAGATCTACAGTTACAGGAGATTGGCAGAGTAGTCAAAATCCCAACAATAAAACCTATGACAAAATAATTTTATGATAAAATCTACCTAACGCAGATCTTCCTCCAGTAATTTCAGAAAACTGAAGTGCAAAAATTTCCAAACTCATTCTATAAGGCCAAAATTATGCTGAAACCCAAAGCAAGAGTTTATCTGGAAAAAGAAAAATTACAGACAAATATTCATTCTGAATACCTATGCAAAAGTCCTCAAATGCCAGCAAGCCACACCTGCAGTTATTTAAAGGATCATATACCACAACCAGCAAGTAAAAGGAAGGAAACTGTAAACAATGAGCAAAAATTAATAAACTTGAGACTAAGAAAAAAAATACAAAGAATCAATGAGTTGGTTCTTTGAAAGACTAAACAAAATAGGCAAACCTTTAGCCATCCTATCAAAAAAAAGAAAGATCCAAATCAATACAGTGAGAAATTAAAAAGAAATCATAGGGCTGGGGATTTAGCTCAGTGGCATGAATGCCTGCCTGGCAAGCAAGAGGTCATGAGTTTGATCCCTGGCACACACACAAGAAAGACAGAAAGACAGAAAGAAAGAAACCATAATGGACACTGTTGAAACTACTTTATGAACTGTACTTCAAACAACTGGAGAATCGGGGTTGGGGGTTGGAAGTATATAGATGCCTAGATATATATGAATTACCAGAAGATAACCAAGATATAAAAATCCTGAATAATCTTAAAACAGCCAATAAAACTGAAGCAGTAATTTTTTAAAAATGAAATTTAAAACGCACTCAAGTCGGGTGTGGTGGCTCAAGCCTGTAATCCTAGCACTTGGGAGGCTGAGGCAGGAGGATCCTTGCGAGTTCAAAACCAGCCTGGGCTACAAAGTGAGCTCAAGGCCAGCCTGAACTGCATAGGGAGAGCCTGTCTCAAAAAGACAAAAAGAAAAAGAAAAAGAAATAAAGCACTCAACTAAAAAGAGAGAGAAAATGAACTACTGGCCAAACTGTAACAACATAGATGCAAAAATCCTCAGTAAGATACTGGCAAAGAGAAAGCAACAAATCATCAAATACATAATACATGACCAAGCAGGCTTCATTCCAGGGATGCAGGGATGCTTCAACATATGAAAAATCAATAAATATAATACATAACATAAATAGAACCAAAGACAAAAATCACATGATTATCTCAACAGATGCAGAAAAGGACTTTTGATTAAAAACCCTGAAAAAGCTGGACATGGTGGTACACAATTTTAATCTCAACACTCAGAAGGCTAAGGATTGCTGCAAATTTGAGACTAGCCTGGGCTACATTGTAAGTTCAAACGCTAGACTGCACCATTCACAGTAGCACAAAGAAAAATTAAATACTTAGGAATTAATCTAACCAAGGAAGTGAACCAACTCTACAACAAACACTACAGTACTCTGCCTAAGGAGATCAAAGTGAACATTATAAAGTGGAAAAACACTCTATTCCTCGATAGGCAGACCCAATACTGTCAAAAAGGCCATACTTCCAAAGCTGATTAATATAGATTTAACACAACCCAATCAAAATGTCAACAGCATTCCTCACAGAACTAGAGAAAAAAATCCTAAAATTCATATTGAACCAAGACACCCAGAAGAGCAACAGTAATCCTAGGAAACAAGAATAAAGTAGGCAGCATCACAATGCCAAATTTCAAGTTATACTACAAAGATATAATAATAAAAACAGTACAGTACTGGCACAAAAACAGATACATGGATTAATGGAACAAAATAAAGGATGCAGAAACAGTTCCAGGCACATTTTGCCATCTGATCTTTGATAAAGTAGGCAAAAACTCACTGGAAGAGGTGAGCCGGGCATGGTGGCACACTCCTGTAATCATAGCGCTTGGAGGCTGAGGCAGGCAGATGGTAGCAAGTTCGAGATCAGCCTGGGCTACAAAGTGAGCCCAAAGCCAGCCTGAACCACACAGCGAGACCCTGCCTCAAAAAGACAAAAAAAAAAAAAAAAAAAAAAAAAAAAAAAAAAAGAAAAGAAAGAAAGTAACCTCTTTTATTATAAATGTTGCTGGGAAAATTGGCAATCCATACACAAAACCTGTATCTCTCACCATGTATTAAACTAAAATTAAAATGAACTAAAAATCTAAGTAGTAAAATAGAAACAATCTGCTTAAAGTAAAAATAGGCAAAATTCTTGAAGACATAAGCAATGACAAGGACTTTTTTGTCTATATTGTTTGTTTTCTAGTCTTTTTGAGGCTGGGTTTCACTACGCAGTTCAGGCTGGCCTTAAACTCACTTTGCAGCCCAGGGTAGCCTAGAACTCACAGTGATCCTTCTGGCTCAGCCTCCCAAGTGCTTCGATTATAGGAATGTGCCATCACACCAGCAGTGAGGACTTTTTGATCAGAACCTAACCTGCACAAGAAATAATATAAAGAATCAACAAATGGGACCATTCCCAACTAAAGTTTCTGTAAAGGAAAGGAACATACATAGTAAAGGTACAACCTACAGAATGGGAAATTTTGCTACCTAATACAGAGGGCTATACCTACAATATATAAAGCACAAAAAAATAAAAAACTGAAATAAATACACACTTCTTAAAAGTCCAAATGGCTAATATGTGAAAAAATGTTCAGTATCTTTAACCATTAGAGAAATACAACTACAACACTGAGATTCCACTTTTACCTTAGAAAGAATGGCTAGCATCAAGGAATCTAGGGTCAGGGATTTAGCTCAGCAGCATAAGCGCCTGCCTGGCAAGCGCAAGATCATGAGTTTGATCCCGGTACCAAAAAAAATAAATAAATAAATAAATATAACAAGAAGTGGTGGGAGGAGGAACACATTCACAACAAATGCTAGGAAATATTAAAAGTAATCTCTAAGAACATGTAAGGGTTTATATAGAAATAAGTAACAGAAAACGCAGATGGGCAACATCCAGTAACTGGAGACTAAATCACAAAAGTTCTCAATACTCCTCAAATCAAATAGATATCTCAAGAAAAATCTGAGCTGACCAGGTGGCTCATACCTGTAACCTCAGTACTTGGAGGCTGAGGCAGGCAGATGAGTGAGTTTGAAGCCAGCCTGAGCTGTATAGTGAAATCCTGTCTTTAAAAGACAAAAAAGAAAAAGATGAGTATCTGAAAATAAATCAAAGCCCATCTTAATAAAATCTGTGGAATACATGAGCTGCTTCAAATGAGAATTTTTTTTTCCTTTTGTTTTTTTGAGACAAGATCTCACTGTGTAGCTAGCCCAGGTTGGCCTTGAATTCATGGCAATCCTTCTACCTCAGCCTCCCCACTGCTGGGATTACAGGCATGCAGCACCAAGCCTGACTTCAAAGAAGATTTAAGCCATCAAACACATAGATTAGAAAAGAACTATCAAGCCGGGTATGTCATCCAAGTCCTGGGGAGGGCTGAGGCAGGAGGATCGTTGCAGGTTCAAGACAAGCCTGGGCTACAAAGTGAGCCCAAGACTAGCCCAAACTGCATAGCAAGACCCTGTCTCAACAAGACAAAAAAAGGAAAGAAAGAAATAAAAGAGCTATCTAAAATGATCACTTAACACTCCACATTA